CATCGATAATTTTTTTCTGAACGTAAACATCGTTTTTATTTTACATAATAAATTATTTACATATTCCCAATCAATCGATAATTTAGAAATACTTAATCGATTGTAATTGAACGATCAATACTATTAATTGAATTATTTAAATGCATTTCAATAATTTGAAAGCATAAACATTCATTTAAAAGTTTGATTATTCTCAATAATAATAAAATATTTATATCACAAACATTTTATTTATTCAATCACGCTAACAAGCTTCTATACCCATTGATTATTGTTAATTAATCGTTGATTCAAAGACATTTATTAATAATAATTCTCATAGTAATATTTTTCATGATGCAATTAAATTACCACTTAAATATTGACATCATTAAACAGCTTCAGGATCTGTATTATATATTTATATTCACAAACAGAAGCAGATGTTAATTTTCAATCAAAGCAGTTGGTAGATAATTCTATCAAGAATAAATAAATTCTGTCAATAATTTCCCTCATAATTATAAATACCGAACGACGAGAGAGGGAGAATAAGAGAGAGAACAAGAGGAAACAGGAGTGAGAAGAGAGGGTGTGTCATTATGTATAAATATATTTTGCAAAGCATCGAGTGTGTATACAGGCTGTACATAATCCAAACGAGGGACTAATTAATGATAATTATTACGCAAGAGTAGCCAAGATGATTAGAAGTAATATGCAATAAATAATATAATTTTAATTATTTTTATATAATAAATATATTACAAGAAATAATTAGTTTGTCGATTTACGGTGCTTTTAAAGGGACTCACTTGACACGTGGAGTTATAAAAATAGACAGGTTGTATAAGAAAATATGTCGCTCATTGGTAAAATATTATTTTCAAGATATGATTTGTAAAATGTATAACAAGCAATGAATAATGTTTTTTAGTCATGTACAATATAATATCGTTATAGAGTCGTAAATATATCCTAATACATTGAAGAAGTACTTCGTGGAACTTGTTTTAATTTCCGCCGTGACTCGAATTGATATGAGCCAACGTTTGCAAACCCCTGCAACGTCTCTCATCATGTTGGTGCGAACTCGCGAACAATTGTAATTCAAGATCATTATCATTAAAGACAATTAGCGGAGCATATAAATACACCGTATCTATGCTCCGTCGGGCGTAACAACCCACCCGCGTGCGCGCTCCAGACTATTTAATTAATGTTTTCCTTACATTCTTTTTTTTTTCTCTCTCTCTCTCTCTCTCTTTCTCTTATTTAATTTCTTTATTTCCATTTTTTTATCGTCTGTTTTCTTTTACCAACTCTGACTGTTTCTTGACTTTGTCTAATACATTAAGTCGCCTGTCTTGTTCAGTAAGTTGAACATGATAAGAAATTACACGACAAGACATCGGTATCACTGTCAAAGAAGAATAACGACATATGGAAGCTAAAAAAATTATAAGTGACATTCTAACTGTTGATAAAGACAAATATCGAATTCAAAACGGCAAACATCAAAAAGTATATAATAATAATTGCTTAGGGTTATCATTGGTGATATTTTTTTGACCAGATTTTTAACCCAATTTCTCGCCCTGAGATTCATTATTTTTTATTGTTCAACTTGTTAGTTATTTTTAACTGATTTCGGAGCATGCTTACACTTAACATCAATATTTAGTAACTGTAAATATGTGAGTTATCTTTTTAAGTAAATGATTTTTTAAATGTTTTGCTTGTTTGTTTATAGTAGGTTTTGTAAATTTATTTTCCTATTTGCTAATTTGTGATAAAAGTATTCATTTTGTAAATTATTTTTCCAATTACCATTCCATGTTCCTTATCATTTCACACTCTATCTATAATATTATCTCTTCTACCGCGTGTTCGTGATCAATTTTTAATAAATTAACTGCATATTTTTCCATCAATAAAAAAACAGTTACAAAAAACTTTCCTGTTTATTATTTTTTTTTTTTTGTTTATTTCACACGTCTTGAAGTACATCTTTTTTGCAAGCCATTATTCACATTTTTGTTACAAAATAGTCAATAATATGTTTCATTTCTTCAAATAACTATTCGTGATCAATTTTTACGTTTAAAATGAGCTTTGAAATAAAACGTGAGAATCACACGACTTACGTGATATAAAAGATTTGAAAAAAATTTTGTGTAAAAATTATTTTCTTTGTTCTTTACGTTGCTAGTTTTTAGCCCTAGTTATATCATTGCCTATATAATACATTTCTCCATCACTTGCGCACAATTAGCTGCGTGTTAGAACCACCTGTATCTGTCAAATACACCACCTGTCTGAGTTTAACGATGTCTGTGCCAAAAGACTACTCGAGATGAATAGAAAATAAAATTAATATATACGAAGGATAGCTCAAAACACCACGTGTATGACGCCCAAATAGGATCTGTCTGACACGAAGTCATTTTGAGGCATCATCGTTAGTGCGGATTTTGCGTGGAGAAATTTGGACGATTCAACTTGTCGGTGTCGAGAGTACTAAGTCTTGAAGCCTCAAGGTAGATGTCGAGAGACACGCAAAGATATTTGTAAATTAACTTTTGTAAAAGGAACAAAACAAAGAAAAAAAAAGATGTCTTATATTTTGGATAGAGCAGAGAATATTTTGGGATTGCAGGTAAAAGGGCTGGAGAGAAGATGTGAGAGTATTGTGGATGAAGAGAGAGGGAGAATGATGGAGTAAGAACAAGAGTCCACTGGAGAATATATCGGTAAAGGTAGAGAAGGAAAGAAGTTTTGAAAAGGGACTAACGACCGGCAGTTAACGGCGGCTCTTAAATTGCTGGTTGCCCGTTGCATCTTCCACGGACGGCTTGGCCAAGAATTATTAAACTGTAGTTTAGTTTAAATTAAGTTATTACCCCCGAGCCGGCTTGTTTTGTTGTTCCTTGAGATTTTTCTTGCCCTCATCCTACTCATCGTCTTTATATTATCACAATCATTCTTCGTCTTTCCCGCGAAATTCTGGCGCCTTCTTGATGAAACTTAATGTCTTCTCATACTCTAATTCACTTGAAAATTTCACAAACAAACGACTTTTCAAATTCACGAATTAAAACGTTTACTTTTTACCACTAACTTTATGGACAAATTTATTTAATGGAAGAAAAATTATATTGCCCTCGAGGAAATTCAATCTGGAATCCTATTTCACTGAAATAAAATGTTTTTGTTGAGGTAATATTTCAAAAAGGGTGGGAGCATCCTGTCATTATTTAACGATTAGGTGAATGGATGGAATACATTGACTTAGAGAGTCAAATAAAAAATTATAGAACTCATTTTGAGAAGTTTTTTGAACATTTTTTTATCATGAGTAATATCAACTTCAAATTACTTCACTATTTTATTTATTTTTAGAAGAATTAACATTTTATTATTACTGATTACAGCATTAATTAATTACAAATAAAAGTCGAAAAATTTATTTAAAACCATTTTTTGAAGATGATTTCAATTTGTAAGCGGTTTTAATTGGACTCTAATGATGGAGATGCTTGAAAATATTAATTATTTATTTATTATCATTCTTTAAAGTTCTTCAGATAGATGATTTCGACTATAACTGTAATTATCCTTTCGAAAATTTTGATTCTCCAAAGGTTGGAAGAATTCAGAAGATCATTCAATTAACCCTTGGTTCCCAGCAAAATTAGATGGATGAAAAAATTTAAGGGATATTTATCTTTTAACTTGTCTTTTAAATTATAGTTATAGCAATAATAGAATATAAAAAAATTTCAATGATTAAATTATAGATATTTATTTCTGATGTTAATCGATTATACACTATATTTTTATGGCAAATATATTAGTTATAAACTTATAACTAATAATGATGTGTTCAAATAGTGAAGAAAATTCCGGTTTTTAAGTAAAATCTCCCTGAGACTGTAGATAAGTAAAATAACTCAGACAGGTAATCTAAGAGATTATGCCCGTGAGAGAAGTAAAGACAAGTAATTGCTTGAGAAGAAGAAAACACGCAAAGCCAAGTCACCCTTAAAGAGATTATAATCCTGGTATTTTCTGCAACTCATAATTTCATTATTTAGTTGTCATTTAAACGATTTGATTGAAAAAAAAAATTGTGTTCAAGTGTTGAATAAATTTAACACTTTAATTTCATTTTCTTCTGTCATTAGTATTATTATTGATAATCATATTTCATTTTTACATCCATTCATTTTTCTAAACAATAGAAAATAAATTTTATTAGAAATTGAAAAAAACATAATGAAAAAAATTATTAAACTGATTACAAGATTAAAAGAAAAAAAATTTTATTATAAAATTGATGGAAAGAAATGGCAACAAATGATTGATCATCAACACCAAGTTGATAAGCTATTGATGGTTTAATATCCAGGATATAAACAAAAGTAAAAGAAACTCAAATGAGATCACGTAAAAAAGAGATTTTCACCCTCGTGTTTGTGCGAAATGTTATTCGAACCGTCGGCTGATGAAAAGAAGAAGAGGGTAGTGCGAAAAGGGGTCTGAGCTTCGTAAGTGATCCCAAGAGGCTACAGGGAACGATCTTATGATTGACCACGTTACCAGGATCCCGTAGGACCATTTTCTCGGACAATGTACCAGGAATTTTCCCTTAGATTCTTTGCCATAATGGTTCAGACAATAACAAAGAGATTAGCTCATTTGTTATCGTGATACAAGACACAATGGTAGTGAGAAAAAATGTTTATCGTTAAAAATTAGCACAATCATTTCTCCAATGATTCTACAACATTTTAAGACATTTAATTAATCAATTAATTTACTAAACGACACATGAGAAAAAATTGATGCCTAACAACGATAATCACTTTATAACTTTTATGGTAAATAAAATTAATTATTGAATCGGTTGATTTATAGAAACTATTAATGTCAATCTCATGTCTCTTACTTTATCTAATTAATGAGAAGATTAAATTATTTATAGCTGTTAAATAAAATAATATAAATGCATTAAGTACCTTTTTTATCGTCGTCGTCAACCGAATGATCTCCAGTATGATGAAGATGGTGGGTGCCAGGATGATGAGCTGTTATTCCAGATACCAATGGGTGATTACTTAATACCGGATGAGAATGAGAATGATGATGGCTGAGAAATCTGACTGCTGCTGCAGCAGCTTGATGTTGAACTTGCATTGTTTGTTGTACTTGACTTGGGACATTGCCAAGTACAGAATGGTGAGATGGCCATCCTGGTATAGGGAATGGAAGCACTGGTGGTACTCGATGAAATAATCTTGCTGGAGATAAAATTGATCCTCCTGTTCCAGCTGATCCTCCACCAGGAGGCGGTGGGAATGACAACCCACCTCCTGGTTCTAAAACCATGTTCGGCACCAACTTGACTATCTTGATCAAGTCCCACGGGATTCGTTATTCCCGGGAACTATTCCTCACTGGCATTGATAAAAACAAATACTTAAATACACTTATTGTCAACCTGTTTGACAGTTAAATTAATATCATTTCTTTTGGAGTATTCAATAATAAAATCCAACAGTTACACTTAATTATTGAGTACACTCTAGTTCAAGTCTTGAAGCACTTAGTTTTGATTTAGAACACTTTTTAATTGATGTAGTAATTGAACAACATTAACACCACGTGAGAAGTCTAAGGTCCGTCGGAACTCAGGTAAGCTTTGAACAAGCATTCACATTCTTACCTGCAAATGTTTGGCTTCTTGAATGACTCTTCACTTTTAAAATCAATAAGTAAGTGTCACAATATCTAGACCACGTGCTATTGTCACTGTCAATATACCAAAGTGTCTACTGAAATTTTTTCTACATCAGATATCAATTTCAATGGACTATTGTGTTGATTTCAATGTAAGCTAGAGGATAAATTATTAATCCCTGTCACTAATCCACCTGGACCGTCGCATAAATTGACATTGATGTGTAATAATTATAGCCTTGATCAGTCTTTAGTGGATAATTAGCATAATTAGCACGTAAAACTAAGCTGACACCTTCTACAAGTTATCCTACTTCTCCAAGATCACCTTCTGCTCCTTCAAGTGGTTAAACTTGTTATAATATCCCTGTTACACAAATGTTAACTAAAACACTTGACATATCAGCATGTCCAGGTGATAAAGAACAGCACAATTTCACTTAAATTGTATCCAAAATAAGTCCACATTCAGGAGCAAGACCTTGATGATCTCCAAGGTCTTCAATCCTTTTCCCGCTAACACATAACTAACCAAAGCTGTCGTTATAAGACTCTGCTGATCCAGTCCTGTATGACCAGGGTGGACCACTACGGCACGAGCCAACGGCACAATACTATCTGGCTAGACAGGAGACCGAGTGATTCCCCACCAGTATGCTCAACATGAAAACCCGTTTTGGCTTCTACCGCGACTTGTATTCATTGGCTGTTGTAGTAGCGGGTTCTGGGGATCTACGATAAATTCAACCAATCCCTAGGCTGCTTTCCAACCAACTGGCACGCCCGTTGCTTACTTTTTTAACGTGGAATTGAATCAACGCCTTCCTCTTCCAACATACAGCTCTCTGCATCCGAGTGTAAAGCTTGGTGGGGACGAATCAATTGGCGTCTGCCCCGAATCAAGCCGCAAGATGGCTCCTCCCTTCCACCTGCCTACAACCAAAACCACCCTGTGTCATTCGGGGTTGATATCAAAATCCCAGTGATATTTTTTCATGGTTTTTCTCTACTTCATTCAGATTCAATAGTTGTTGAAATTTTAATTTTCTAGTTTCTTTTGTAGAATATTGATTTATATTTTATAGGTTTTTAAATTTATTTTGCTGATTTCTAACTATTGTTTTTCATTAGTTCTAACTGTTTTAAACACAAATAAATATTGATGAAAATTTTTTAATGCTGTAATGAGTGAAAAAAATAAATATATTTTTGGAGTAAAAATGTTTTTTTGTGTTACTTTTCTTTGTGTAAAGAGAGCTTTTTCTTGTCAGGGGCGTATACTTACCACCCCTCATTCGCTTTTCTCGCAGCCTCGGGGGTACGATCCTCTTTTAATAAGTGAGGGGCAGAGAGGAGAAAGGGGTAAACTCAGGGTGGGCTCGGAGGCGTTAAGTAATTACGTCTATTCTCTTCTGGGGAGAAAATTACTTGTGCCCCGAGCGTCCTGCAGCAGTGACTCTGGACGAGAAAAATTAGGAAATTAAAATTAACCCTTGTTTTCCATTCTCCTCTTTTTCCTTCAAACAACTACGCGTTTTATTTTACTAACTTGTTTCAATTTTTTTTTCATTTCCTCACTCATTGTAGACAATTTATTTAGCTTGACTTAATGCGCTTTATTTTTTTAATCAAATACATACACAATAAAAGTATTATAGAGGGAATACACCAATTATTTACTTTTTTTGTAGCTTTAAAATATTGTAAAAAAATTGAAGAACAAACTTGTCAGTCCATTTATGAAGTTTCTATGTATATATATATAAGACGTAGTTGGCTCTTCATGAGATTATTTCCTATTTCCGTCATGACGCTCGTGTATCGTTATTTAAGTTTTATATTAAAGTCAACGTAGAGAGCAAGTCACCGAGGAAATTTGATGTATAGCAAACGCGTGCCCTGTTTTCTTTCACCATCAGGCTTCTCACCTAAACGTGAGATATCGCGGTCGATCTATTTTTCATAACTTACATGAGCGTCTTTTCTTCCTCATCGTCACTCTACCCAAGTCTTTCTATCGATATTTCCATAATAGAGTATCAGCTTTTCTATCACTATTTTCCCCAAAGTCTTTTATATAAAATCATCAAAATATGTAAATTATTTTACTCATTTTTTCTCAATATTATAAAAAATAGTTCCCTCATAAACCCATGAATATCACTATTTCCTAAATATTTTCATATTATTACTAAATTTAAAAAATAAAAGCAAAAAATATTTTTCCAAATTACAATTAAAATGATTAAATAATTATTTATTAAAAGAAAAAATCAACAATCGTCAGTCTAATTATTTAAAATAATTAATTTAAAATATTTTCAATCAAGTTGCAATAAAATAATAAATAATTACAAAATAACTTTCAATCAGATCCATTCAAAATCTCTCATTCTGTTTTCCATTGTAATAATAATTTACTATTACGAGAATCTTGTAGACTTAGACACAAATATATGTTGTTCTTTGTCGAATTGAATTTGGAGAAGAAGCGAGAATGAGAGGAAAGGAGGAAATGGCGAGAGGATAAGTTGTGGGAGGAAAAAAGACAGAGGGAGAGTATAGGTTTCCGTGGCAACGCAAGAGAGGGCTTCTCTATACGGTTGCCCAGGCAACCCCTAACCAGCCATCCCTAAATAAACGTCGCAGAGCATAGTCAGAGAGTGAAACAAGGAGGGGATGCAAAGCTTGAGCATCTTCTCTCGATGGAAATACTTGGAGGATGGTGAGGGGATGCTACAGACGATAACTGTTACTCTCTGGCGAAGGTGAAGAGACCTAGTTAATTACTAAAGCGTTTTAATCGTCGACAAAGTTATTCCGTTGGCATGAGACCCACGAAAATGTTGGAGGGTGAGTTTAGTAAAGAAGCACACAGTGGTAAATGTGACTGTGTAAATTAGAGGATCCCTTCTTCTTCCTCCCCTTTCACCTCTTGATCCTCTTATGTACCAAAAACTTCTCGTTTCTTCATTTACCTCATCAGTGTCCTTCCTCTCTCTTTCCCATTTATCTCAAAGTTCTTCGGGTCATCATAAAATAAATGCCAACTAAAAGATTACGATTTCATTAAAACTATTAAATTGATCCTTCAACTTATTTTATTTTATTAGAATTTAATTAATTTTTTCATTATACTTTTTCACTTTAATTTCTTTTTCTTATGCTTTTTTATTAATAGACATGATACTTTTCTTGAGGCATATATAAGCTTACGAGATTCAGCTGAGTAACTTAACTTAATAAATTGCTACAAGAGTTAATGTGCAAGCGGCAGAATATAACTTTAAACTACACAAGAGAAAGAGAGTATAAGTGAGTGACGAAGTGCGCCCGGGGCTTTAGCACGGTGTCCTGGAGCCCGTGACTAATTAACTGCCGCTCGCGTTAATCGTACCACAGTAATACTGAAGAACATGTAGACTATGTAAACATCTAGCTAATTAACGAGCTTCAGGTCTACTAAGATATTCTTCTTTCGATCCTATTTTCCCTCTAACTACCAAACGAATTATTTTGCTCACTCAATGATACTTTAATTAATATAATCTAATAAATAATTTCAACATTCTTTTTCATCATCAAATTCTTTTATAAAATCATTCTTTCAACTGCTCTAAACAATAATTTATTTAAAAATAATTATTTAATACCTGATTTTTTACTCTAAATTTAATCGTACTTATTCCAAAGCATTTGAAATATTTTTTATTGTTGAAATAACAATTTATTGTTAAAAAATATTATCAAAAAAAGGGCCAATAAATTGTCAGAGTCTGTAAAAAATGAAGAAGATGTTGAAAGACTAAAGAAAATTCTTCCTAAAAAAAGCAGAGAAAAGAAGTCGTTGAAATAGTCTGACTTGAGCATTAGAGGAATGCAGAAATGGCTGCTGTGTCATACGAATCCTGTTTTTCCACCCTTATACTTGAAGAGAGTTTATACACTCTCTTTGTCATAGCTTGTTGTGAACTCTTGGCACGCAGCAGCGGTTAGTTCTGATTAGCGGCAGGGCGAATGACGTACCACTGGCTTGATGACGTGCCTGGAATACAAAAGTATAGTTGGACCGCAGAACGATACTTGACTGTAGTAAGCGAAAAGTCACCCCTCAAGGTAACAGAGCGTGCGTCGTTGAATCCTGTAAAAAATTCCGCAAGTAATAATCAACGAGGTATAAAGACTTTGCATCCTCTTAAATCTTCTTGAGAATATTCAGCAAAGTTTGCTTATCGATTCCACAGTCTTTATGGTACTTTACTTCGATAAGTCTTTATATTCCTTATAAATGTATGCTTCAAAGAGTTGGAGAATACACCGAGACCAAGATATAGACGTTGTACGCACAACCATCTCAGTATTCAAGTGTATATTCAAGTGTAATATAGTCTTCTCTTGATTTATGAGCTAATAGTTAACCGCTGGTAAATAACGCTAATCACATACTCTTATTACGTCCTGCTATTGCACGTCAGAACCCACATTACTTGAAGCTGTGGATGAAAATGTTTTGTCCGTTTTACTTAGCTATTGCTTTATAGAGACAATTTTCGACGAATCGTGCAATTTATATCTTTATTACACTACGAAAAAATTTTATTCACTATCTTGATGGCCAAATCATTGAAATAATCTTTTAAGATTATGATTATCTTTTTTTTGCTTAGTATTGCGCTCGAGGTATTTGGAACTGAAGGGTAATAATTATTGTTTTAAACTTGGAGGAAAATCGAATAAGAGTCAGAGGTTAAAATTTTCATTGAGGCTTTCAAGTAATACGTTTATAATTTTTTTTAACATGCACTTTAACTATTTACAGTAATTTATAAGTAAGATAAATGCTAGAATTTGTTTTATAAATAAACTTATTTGTTATTTGTTCATTATTTTAAAAGTAAATATCATGATTTAATAAGATAGTTAATTTTATATTGATGATCGTTGGGGGATGAAATTTGTCCTGATTTTTTTTTGTTAATAAAAATAGAAAACAGATAATCTTAGGAGAATTATAACTCTATTAGTTTTAAGATAAAATTTTTATCTTATTTTCTATAAGAATATAAATAAATTTCCATTAATTTTTTTCGGTTCAAGTAAGACATGAATCGGAGTATAATCATTTGATTAGAAGTTGATAAGAACTTTGAATTACTTCGAGTCGATTTCTAGTTAAATTATTTCTTATTGCATGTAATTATATATTGAACCTAGAGTTAAACATTCTCTATCAAAATTAATCAATAATTAAATTTATCTGTGGAGAAATTTTTAAGAAAAAAATATATTAATACGAAATGTTTAAAAAAAATAATTGATTTTTAAATAAAATATTGAAATTTGACCGCAATTTATCAGAAAAAATTATCTTTATTTATCAATCCATCGTTTTATGTTTGATAATACAATATTCTATTAACAATAAACAAATTTATTCAATTGTTTTTTACTTTTTTCGAAGAGTAAAATTTCAAATAATATCAGAAATAAAGTCTCGAATCTTTAAATGTAAAATGAATGAATAAAAAAAAGTTGACAGATAAAATGATTGAAAGAATATAGATAAAGTTTAATGATTCTATTAAACGAATAAT